GCCAAATATTACAACATAAGCAAGTCACAGCACACATCCTTCCTTACTTCAAAACTGTTACTGTTCCTAGGATTTCTTATACGTATACTAAACCCATTGCATCCAAAATATTTAATTACAGAAACGCATTATCTAACATCAATGCAAAAGAATTATATGATGACCCTCTACCCTGTTCTTGCTCTACGTTGTCCTTCATTTACCAACCAGCTGGACATGTAGTCACTGTTGATTTAAACATAGTCCAGAATAATAAGTTACGTGAGATTTTGTCCAAAGGACCCAAATACCGGGAACCGCAACCATTTTCATGGGATCAAAATTTCAAACTTATTATGGATGCCGTAGAGGACTACGCCAGATCATGGGCCAAGAGGGAAGATGATACCTCGGATATTCTTTCTGATTGGACTAAGTCTATCAGTCGTTTACTTAAACGAAGAATTTATATGCAACGTGTGTTAGTTGATACTAGGCCTAAATCTATTTTCAATGATGTTAGCATTGTTGAAAATCTCAACGCCTTACATGACAATTATGTCATTGTACCGGCTGACAAAGCGTCCAATAACTTAGTGTTTATATGTAAACGATATTATTATGACTGCCTGTTCAAAGAACTTAATTTCGGGAAATCAATCGACAGTGCTACGTATAAACGCTCTACGCTTAGTAAGGATGAAATTATATCCAATCACAGATCTGTACTCACTTCATTTGGTACTCCATGTGGAGATACCTATACAGATCTGCCCTTGTTATATTGGATACCTAAACTACATAAAAATCCCTACAAGCAACGTTTTATAGCAGGTTCATCCCGTTGTTCCACAAAACCACTTTTAAAAGTATTGACATCCATACTAACGGCAGTGAAAGAGGGTATTCAAAAATACTGCGACAAAATATACTGTCGTAGTGGTTTTAATCAAATGTGGATATTAAAAAATTCCAAAGAATTACTTGATGGTTTACAATCTAGATCACTTGCTTCAATCTCATCTATACAAACGTTTGACTTTTCCACTTTGTACACTAAAATTCCCCATAGTAAATTAAAAGCTCGGTTAAAAGACATTATTCACAGTGTCTTTTCATCTAAATCAGGAAATGTTAAATATCAATATTTAGTTGTTAATTACAATTCCACATATTTTGTCAAGAACACTAGTGATTCCAAAAATAAATTCACCGCCAACAAGATAATTCAGATGTTGGATTTTTTAATTGATAATATCTTTGTTGAATTTGGAGGGGAAATTTATCAGCAAGTTGTAGGTATCCCCATGGGCACCAACTGTGCACCTTTGCTTGCTGATTTGTTTCTCTATTCCTACGAAGCCGATTACATACAGGCACTTGTAAAATCAAATAAACGATTAGTCAAGCATTTTAATTTCACTTATCGATATATCGATGATGTTCTATCACTGAATAATCCAAAATTTAGTGATTATGTAGAATTCATCCTGATGAACTCGAAATTAAAAACACTACTGACGGTGACAATTACACTCCCTACTTGGATTTGCGTCTCGATTTTGACAATTGCCATAAACTTAGTGTTAAATTGTACGATAAACGTGATGACTTTGACTTTCCAATTGTTAACTTTCCATTTATTAGTAGTAACATTCCAATATCACCAGCTTATGGAGTGTTTGTTTCTCAACTAATTCGTTACGCGAGAGCTTATTCTTTTTATTCTGATTTTTTTAAGTAGATCGAGGCATTTGTCATCTAAGCTTCAACTACAGGGATACTTGCAAACTAAACTTATTAAAACCTTTAAAAAGTTTTATGGCCGCCATATCGGCTATTATTCTAGATATATTTAATTGACGCGTATACTATCTCCCTGATAATGTCTGTCTACTACATCGTTAACACTGTTCATCACGTGCATTTTGCATACCGATAGTTCATTGGTCAATCACGCTATTTTACCGAGATTTCGCCTAATAGTTTGGATGGAGCTATGGCGGATGTGGCGCCAGGCAGGGTAAGCTTACTCTTCCGGACACCTGTTACCACTGTTTGTCGTGTATTTTGTACACGGTGAACAGTCCATATGCTGATTACACTATTTTGTCTTATTACACTATTTTGCCTGTACCGTTTTTTTTAGGACTTCGAATTTTGTCTAATGGTTTGGATTTTTCGTACTTGGTTTTATTTTATTTTATTGATCCTTATGGTATCGTAGTAAAACTCTGTAATCCGAATCTACAGGGATTAAACATTTACCGTAAGCATGCTTTGAATAATCTAAATTCTAATGAATTGCCCTTGAAAAAGTTACGTATTGTGATTAGAACATATCTGTAATAAACTAAATATTATAACACGACTTCGCACATGAATGAGGGAGTATTATATACTATTCCACAGATCGCTTGCGAAAACAGGTCACGCCGCCTGGAATTCCTTTTTCCATTCTAGGTTAATATTAACCGTAAAAATTATATAAAATGCTATCTGACCGAATTATTTGATTTTGTTGAATGTTCTAAAATAATCTTTATTTTTGAACAAGAGCTAAAGTAAAGTTGTGGAATAATCCCCTTCCTCTTAATGTTTCGAAACGAAAATTTAATGGCAGAGATTTTCTTCCACCCCTCATTGCAGCAAGACATCAGATCAACCCAATTATTTATTTTCACTTAAATCAATCAACTTTACGTCGACACCTAATTCCTTGCTCTTAACGAAATAACTACCTGTATGTCAATCATATTATTATGTTCTTAAAAGTCTACTATTCTCTGGTAAATAAAAATGAAATAACAATAATGATTGTTATTCAGCCATTATTGTACAAATGACGAATATTTCACACAGTTTATGTGTATGGCCTGGCCCTTAGACAATTGGAGTAAACTGTCATGATTGCTATTTTGAAACCACTGCAATAAACGGGGTTTACTGTCTCATCGGCAAAATGTCATATTAAGACAAACAGGTTTAATTTGTGTACATCATGCAATGAGAGATGGGCGAATTGGGCCCGAACAGGGGCGTTTCCGCCTATTCTTCTACAAATCGATTTTCGTCTCATCCAACGATAACAGTAGAATGAAGATTGGACTCTTATGTCCTATATTTTTAAGGCCGCTGTAGTCGATCGGTAAAGACACTGGATTAGAATATCCCAGCGTGGTATGAGAACAAACTGATTTTCAAAGCCCGGTTTCCACTTGTCATGGGTGCCAAGTCTTTCGAATGACAAAATAATTTGGAAAAGCTTAAATGTGTTTTAAAGGCCGCCACCTTTGCCCATCCGTCTCTCTGTCTGTCCGTTTTTAAATTTTGGGCATTTTTCCGCCTAGGCTAAGCAGTGATAAGCAAATTGATTTGTTCTTGCTTTGGCACACGAGAACTATGAGTTTCATTAAATGAGGGTGATGAACAGTGGTGTATGGTTTCATTACGTCAATACCTTGATTAAGTCCGTCTGTTGGCAGTCTAGTTACATCATGAGGCTTCCGTTATGGTCTGATCTTTCGATTTGTTTTTAGGTATGTGTTAGCTTTAAACTGCTTGGACGACTTTGCTGCTGATGGATGGGTGTATATTCGTTTCCTGGCATCGTATGTTTATTATCTGAACTGATGATCATGTTCATTAAACATTTATATAACATTAGTGAGGTGGAACAAAAATTTTAACTTTATGCTCTTTTGCTTAGGACTTCATAAAAACAAGTACATTTAATAATCCACAGTTTGTTAGTGCTAAAAGTTGATAATCGCAAAGTAGTTTTCATTCGATATTGACCGCTTGATTTTTTATTTAATAACTTTTTTGTATCTGCTCTGAATAATCCTATTAAAACTATTCCTGAAATGTATTTTCAGCTAAATAGCATCACAGGTCTAGATTCATGGAGAGATTTTACGTGAATTATTAATACGATCTCACAGAAATAGTTGCTTATCCTCATTTATAGAAAGCAGGTATTATTTTCTGGAAACACAAAATATTAACTACAAATCCGCATCACTCATTTTCATTATTTATTTACGAATAAAATTTTCTAATAAGCTATCACGCTGTGATTCACTAAGAATATCAGTGTGTGCGAATTGTTATTTTTCTTAATTTGAAAGTCTTCATTTGGAAACTGTCAGACAATCGGTTGATATATTCGGAGTTCCATTACAAGGTGCTGAGTTGAACATTTCACACATTCCAGGTTAACGTTTATTTGTGATGTTCACGAAACCAGCAGAAGTATAACTGAACTGTTGGTATTAAAATATTTTAAAAGACACAAAACTAGCGCAAAAAGTAAAATAGTAAGCAAAAAATAAATAAATAAAGAAAGAACATTTTTTCAAAAAAAAGCAGCCCCCCCCCCCCCACAAAAAAAACCTCTCACTATTCAAAACACAAAACCTTTCAGTTTTATCTCTGTATTCAATTTTTTGGGCGGGGGGGGGGGGCAAAGTAGGTTATTCGTTATTGTTTTGTTCAAAACATTCATTGTTTTAGTCAATTATATTTCCGCTTCATTAATTAGGTAATTATACCGTAACAGCTAACAACAGAGAGATGAAATAATGTTGCTATTCTTATCCCGTATATGTTTCTGCGTTGTTCAGATATTTCACGAACCAGCGCAGAAAAACAATAGCAAGTCATTACTATTTTATAACTATTGTCTCGGGCTACATATGTTGATGACATAGAGTGTATCAATCTATGGGCTAACTGTCATTCCCTGACTCTCCATACAATCCCTGACATGAAAATATTCTTCAGCTTTCGTTTGCAGCCACTAGCAAAATGGACCGCTCTAAATGGTTATTAATATATCATGTGAAAATTCACTTTATGAGTACGCATTTTAATAAATTTTTATTCATAGTTATTTCAATAGCATTAAAATTAAAAACGGACACACTTGAATTATATCCAATTATTCATAGTACTTAATAATCGAGGCTTTATACACCCGAACAAGCCGGAAGCACGTGGCGCGCAATAACAGCGAATATACTAGCAGACGATCAATCGGGTTTTGTCAACGAACTAGGCGGTTGGATCAGTTTGAGTTAGTTTGATAATGAAGAGAAACAGTGTATTTTTAACATAACAACGCTAATACGTGAAACAGTATTAACAGTTTAATGTAATGGACTGTAGCAAAAGCCAACTATTTTCATCCTGACCACTGGTCATGGCAGACAACGGGTTCACATTTCTAATTAACTTTGTGATGTCTGTAAGACGACGTCGTCGGCAGGTGGATCGGAAGGTCACTAGTGTAATTCTTCCTCAAACTTAATCAAGTTTCTCATAGGATCTGGACAAAGGGAGTTGATGTTTGTTTCCGGTAAAGCTATGACTATTGCGGATTAATGTTGGAATAAATATCAAGATGAATGATTTGGCCAATTTTATATGTTTGTGGATTATGCTGTTCACTCAAAGGTGCCAAAATGAGAGAGTTGACAGCAAAAGAATAATTAAACAACGAACAGCAAGAATCGAAGGAGATATTGTTTTAGGGGCGCTATTTCCTGTTCATTACGCACCTCCGAATGCCTCCGTTTTTTCTCGAGCGTGTGGACCGATTAGGGAACTTTACGGAATACAACGAATTGAGACACTACTCTTTACCTTGGATAAGATCAACATGAACGATTCCATATTACCTAATATCACCCTGGGGTGTGATATAAGGGATTCTTGTTGGTACTCAGCCATCGCCCTGGAACAGAGCATTGACTTTATTAAAGATGCAATAGCAAGTAACACCGAACTGAACAATAACCAGTCTCATAATAAAGGTTGCAGTGCAGAGAGGCTGGAACCCATTGCAGGACTAGTAGGGCCTGGTTCCAGTGAGTCCACCATCCAAGTGCAGAATCTTTTACAAATTTTCCACATCCCCCAGATAGGGTATTCGGCTACCAGTATCAGTTTAAGTGATAAAAGTCGGTTTAACTATTTTCTCCGTGTTGTTCCCCCGGATAATTATCAAGCTCAAGCACTAATTGACATCGTAGTGCGCTTTAACTGGACTTATATCTCCACAGTTTATTCAGATGGTAAGTATTCTTTCTCGAAAAATAGTTTACATTAATTTAATTACCCATTAGTCATAATTATGGCGGTTCAAGTGACGCTTATGTAGGTAGTTCCAGTTATAAATATTTTAATATTAAAATATGTAACCCCAAAAATATATAAAAAATCTTCGTAGAAGAAAACTTATTATTCACACACTGTCATTCCTGCTCAGCTGGGAAATCATAAATCAAATTTATCTTTCAATATAGTTTACGCCATCTATATATTAGGCTAGATATCCAGCCGCTTTTTGTCATTTTGTTTCGTTGACTTGGGATTGGTTTAAGTATGTATACATTACACATCCATTTTGAGATTATTTAGGCCAGTCACACTCCACCATATTACAGATATATTAAATTTTCTGACATAACCGATTAGTTATAACAAGTAATAATATTTCTCTTAGAAAGTTCTCATAGTTTGCATCCTGGTGTAAATTTATTATAAAGCCCACTGTCTAAATGTTTAATAAGGAAACATCTTTACATTGAATATTACTCATTATATCCGGTGGTATCTGGTGGTATTTATTACTCAAAATCAAACACAGAAATACTCTATATAATAAATTCTTATCTATAGAATAAAAGTGGGCATCGTCCGGCCTATCTTTTATATGGATGTTTTATACGTTAACAATGATTTGTGCAGATTTGTACAAACCGTGTTATCTGGGTTTCACTGCAGCCTACCAGCTGTTATTTTAATGACAATTATTCACACACGCCTGGGTAGATTCCATCATTATTACTATTATGAAATAGTAAATGAATGAAATAGATAAAAGGTGGGTGATATACAGGATTTTGCAAGGTTTACAAAATTGAGTGGACCCACTCAATAGTAATGAATGGAGGAACAATTAGACCATTATTGGCATCTTTGGTTCAAAGGTAATAGGGCATACTATATTTAATATGTCTTGTATGTTAGACAGTAACATAATTCTTGCTACACTAATGTTTGTTCTATATTATGAATGTACATATAATTGTACACTCAAGTAATTGTTAGAGTAAAGTTAGGGTAATAAATGACAGTCATTGTTGTACTTTGTAACGAATAGCGTCTCCCTCTCTCTCTTGAATTATATGTATAAGAGATAAGGACATTATCACTACAATACAAATATGCTTGACAATATTTATAACCTGTCACAACAGGTTTATACTATTTATCTATTTATATACCACAGGGCCTTGTTAGTATTTCCACAATCCTGCATTTTTATATAAGCATTGCTTAATGTCAATATGCTCCCCTAAAATATAAAACGAGGTTTTAATTAAGACAGTAAACAGATAAAAATAATATTTGGATGAGTGTTACACTCAAAATACCCTAATTCGGGTGGCAGCTTAGACGCTGCAACTGCCAGTAGGGGAACCCCTCACCATAGGCCTCTATTAGCTAATTCACTGCATTCTACAACGACTTTGTAAATTTACAAATATCCACTGAACCAAATTTAACACATTTATAAAATATACAATAAACGTAAATCTTGATGTACGATCAATATATATAAACATACAACTTATTCATTTATGCACATAATGTGAATTAATAACAATTAAGAAATAGTACACGATAATATTTTGAAAAATTTATATTTATAATTTATATTTATATTAAAGGGGGATTATGGGAGATTTGATAAAGATTTGACAGTTCTCGATATAATAGTTAAAAATAAATAACGTAAAAAAAAGGTGCTGAAAATTTCAGTCAAATTGCTCCATTCTGAACCGAGATATTAGCTTTTGAATTATAGGCTAGCCTCAATCATCATTACTAAATTCGGTACGATAAAAATCAGTCTCGATTATCTATTTTTACGTTTAATCATCCTTCACAAAATGTATTCCAATCCTCTAAATTTCGCAGGCTAGCGATGACATCGAGAGTTGATTATGGTCTGGATAAGTTAATTAATGTCTAATTAATAATTTAGATAACATTTCAGGCCTAAAGAAAGACCTGCAATAGGCATATTTAGCTCTTGCATAATGTATGTTTAATAAAGATTTTATAAAGATTAGTAAAATACCCTAAGATAAATTATATTTGTGGTAATAATGAGATTAATGACGAATGTAGTCATATTTTACTAAATGAAGTAGACAAACAATTTTTGCAAATTAACATACGGTGTAAACTAGACATCTACAATAGTTTAGTTGTCATGAATATTGATTAAACTTTTGCAACCCAACATAACACTGTTTTCTTGTGGGTGTTTTATATTTTAAACACTAGTTTATAGTTTTAAATTGCGCCCATATCTAACACTAATTTTAACATTCAGTAGCATTATGTCCAGATAAATAATAAACTTATATTCATATATATTATGATGCTCTAATAAAACGATTACATCCGTATATTAAGACACCTACTCATGTATTGTGTTACACGATGAAGCGGATGATACGGTAAGCCTATTTAGACAAAATATAGGTGAGGATAACACGTCCATCTATTAAGATAAATGATAAATAAAGAGGAATTCAAATCGAATGGGGTTTACAGCCCACTTTTCTGATACCAACAGGGCTAATGGAGACAGAAATACACCTTCTCCTCGACGAATTCCAAATATTAATGGTTCTTTTACGAGAACGCTATTGACTAGATCACCCTCTTTCACCACTGACGAGGAAACCACCCTGGAAAATCGCGTGCAATTTTCTCAAACCCGGAACCTCTTGGTGAAGGCCCACCGTGACTCCCTAAATAAATAGGTATTAATTAATATGTACTTCATGTTAGGATGTAAATCAATATAGACTGGAGGCTCAGTGCGCGGGGTTGTCCATCAAATGGGCACAAAACCAAACCCAACTTTTCTATAGTAAAAATTTGCGTAGAATACATTGTCAAGTGATAATCAGTCCGCCGTTTGGGCGTTTTCGAGATATTAGGGGTCAAAGGTCAAATGAGGTCATTTGCACTGAAAGTGAATACGTAGTCATTTTTTATCATGAAAACATGCCGAAAATGATCGAAGGTAATCACCCTTTCAATAAAAATGTAAACTTGCTAAATTCACCTTTGTTCTTTGTGACCCTGGAGTTCAAAAGGTCAAACTTTCCGTTTTTGCACTGGAAGATTTAAAGCAATAAATGTCAGCGTAAAATATAAAAACTAAAGCGAAACCTGTTGTAATTAATAATAACTAGCAGGATACCCGGCTTAGCTCGGGGGGTCATAACTCCGAAACCGGAAGTGGTAGACTAACGCCACCAGGCCTATGTTACTCCCCGGTCCGAGCTACCCATATACCCCAAATTTCAGACTCCCCGGTCCGAGCTACCCTTATACCCCAAATTTCAGACTCGGGGCAGACCTAGTGTAGCCGCCAACCCCAAACAGACCGGCTTCGCTCGGGGGTCATAACTCCGAAACCGGAAGTTGTAGACTAACGCCACCTGGCCTATGTTACTCCCCGGTCCGAGCTACCCCTATACCCCAAATTTCAGACTCGGGGCAGACCTAGTGTAGCCGCCAACCCCGAACAGACAGACTTCGCTCGGGGGTCATAACTCCGAAACCGGAAGTGGTAGACTAACGCCACCTGGCCTATGTTACTCCCCGGTCCGAGCTACCCTTATACCCCAAATTTCAGACTCGGGGCAGACCTAGTGTAGCCGCCAACCGCGAACAGACCGGCTTCGCTCGGGGGTCATAACTCCGAAACCGGAAGTGGTAGACTAACGCCACCTGGCCTATGTTACTCCCCGGTCCGAGCTTCCCCTATACCCCAAATTTCAGACTCGGGGCAGATGTAGCCGCCAACCCCGAACAGACAGACTTCGCTCGGGGGTCATAACTCCGAAACCGGAAGTGGTAGACTAACGCCACCTAGCCTATGTTACTCCCCGGTCTGAGCTACCCCTATACCCTAAATTTCAGACTCGGGGCAGACCTAGTGTAGCCGCATACCCCGAACAGACCGGCTTCGCTCGGGGGTCATAACTCCGAAACCGGGAGTGATAGACTAACACCACCTGGCCTATGTTACTCCCCGGCCCGAGCTACCCCAAGACCCCAAATTTCAGACTCGGGGCAGACCTAGTGTAGCCGCCAACCCCGAACAGACAGACAGACAGACAAACGACAGTCACAAATATATATATATAGATAACATATCAAATTTATCTGTAGGTGGTCTTAGCCCCAAACTTTTACTTTGGAACGTCGAAAAAGATCTTGCATAACAGAACCAAAAACACATCGAAACCGGTTTCAAAAATACGTAAAAACTGTCAAATAAAAATCTCCCCGATTTAGTTTCACAACGATTGCTATACATAATTAAACTAGTTGTCCGAAAAAAACCAATTGAATAGTTTGATGGCTGGACTTTCAATCATCTTCAGCTTGTTTTCATGATACAAGAATTGCTGCGCATTCACTTTCAGTGCAAATGACCGCATTTGACCTTTAACCCCGAATATCTCGAAAACGACCTAACGGCGGACTGATTACCACTCGTCATCGTATTCTACGTAAACTTTTACTATAGAAAAGTTGGGTCTGGTTTCCATTTGAAGGACCCCCCACCCCCCATCCGGATTGAGCCTTCGGTCTAATATACACAATTATGTGAATTGTTTGGCGAGAGAAGGTATACTCACTAATTAGCAATTCTTATGATATTGTTTACTATTTATAGTGCATAAGATTTCGTCGTCTTAATGATCATTGAATGCATACTTGCTTTATGTTAATATACAAACTTGAGGTCATGATAACTATAGAGTAATCTGTTTTATAACGTGTGGGTTTATCTGATAATTTTGATTGATTTGGGTTACTATGTAAACAATACACAGGGGGGATTGTGTTATTAGAAGTCAACAAAATATGTCAACATGACTTTATTATACACGGGGGGTTCAACAGGGATATTTCATCAAATTATATTGCATTATTGATATTAACAGCAACCATTCTTTCATACATTACCATG